TAATAAAACCCGATTTTCTTCGCCATATTCAACTAGTTAAAGAAACCGGTTGTATCACAGGTTTAACAATGTTATTAGATAATGTGATTATGTTTTGTTTTGATTTTTTGTATGTATTTTCCAATTTTATCTTCAATACACCATGACTGAAACTCCATTAAAACAACGTTATATGGTTATAACCTCTTCGTGGGAGGCTGGAACTCGTGATGCTGACACTTTACATGATTTGACTTCTATTCCACTTTCCACTATATACAAATACATAAAAAAACTCAAAGATGATATTCCTTTGAATCCTCTACCTCGACCTGGCAGGCCAAAGAAACTTTTTCCTAAACAACGTTGTCATCTCGGTCAACTTGTCTTAGTAAACAAATTTTCTACAAGCACTGAACTTGCAAATATTCTAAACACCCATAATCCTGACCTAAATGTCAGTAATTGGACAGTGCTCAATGAACTTCATAACATGCAATATCACAGTACAGTTCCCAAATCTATCCCTCTTCTTACAACCAGTCACAAACAAAATCGAGTAGTATATGCCATAAAATACAGGAAACAAAACTGGAACAAGGTTATTTTTTCTGACGAAACTACATTCCAGATGTTCTGAAATACTCAAAAAGTGTTTTACAAGATCGGTACACAGCCTCCAAGTAAAGCTATGGTAAAACATCCATATAAAATTCATGCATGGGATGCCTTTTCAGTATAAGGACCAATTGGCTTCTTCCTTTTTACAGATATTATGAACAGTGCCCATTACCGTAAGATTTTAACTGAAAATCTCTTTGACAATGCAAATACCATCATGGGAAAAAATTGGATGTTCCAGCAGGATAACGATCCGAAGCATAAAGCTAAGGAAACCATGGAACTTCTTGTGCAACGATGCCCAAAGATAATGGATTGGCCATCCAATAGTCCAGATATTAACCCAATTGAAAATTTATGGGCAATTTTAAAGGGTTGTGTAAAGAGAGAAATCAACAATTATTGGTTAAAAAAAAAACCAGTTACTACAGATTGTTTTCATGAGATAATTCAGAAAGAATGGGAAGGAATCGAAACTGAAATTTTTGTTAATTTAGTTCGTTGTATGTCAAGAAGATTGGAGGATGTGATTGCGGGTAATGATAATAAGATAAACTATTGAGTAGCCTTAAATGAACTTATTTGTCATATCATGAACAGTAAATTTGTAAAATTTTATGCACTTATAACCTTTTCTCGTTGTGAAATGAATAAAAATGTCATTCTCATTACTTTTTTCATGCACTGTAATTATAGATTATTATTTTTAGGGTAAATATGTTATGTGTTTTATTAGCAATAATAATATTATTATTACAATGTGTTAGGAAGTATTGATTATTAGATCAATAATTAAAAGATTGTTATGAACATGATGATTCTGACTTGGTCTAAAACCAAGTCTTTTTATACCTCTTGGAGTATTACAAATAACATGACTTTTACTCTATTTTGTCCAATAAAATATGCTTATTAATGCTAAATAAATATTTGGGTCAACTGAGCATTACAAAATGATAATTAATAATCTAAAGTAAATATTTGCATCAGCTGAATAAGTTCTTGAAATATAAATACAAAATATGAATATGAATAATTGTACATGTGATACTGCGAGATGTGTGGCGCAGTAGTTTCTCAAAATATACACAGTGAGTCTCGATTTAACGGACCTCGATTTAGCGGATTTAGGAAAACCAAATTTTTCTATAATTATTTTATCTTGATTTAACGGATTTAACGGATTTTCATATATATTTGATTTAGCGGATATTTTTTAAAAATACATATATGTCACTTATAATCAGTGTTGGCAATGACAGTTATTTAACTTTTGAACTGTCAGTTAAATAACTGGTCCAAAAGTTGAATAACTGGTTCAAAAAAACATTTGAACTTGTGAACTTTGGTTCAATGAGATAAATTGATTGATTTATGTGCACAGAGCACATTTTTAACCAATTTTGAAATTATCTGCAAATAATTAATAAATTGGGTTAGATAATATGCATGAGTTTGTTTCTATCACCTATATCTTTTTATTGTAAAATATGATTTCCTCTAAGCTGTTCTTGTGTACAGAATTGATAGATTTTTAAACCAAGGTGTAAATAAACATTGTTCTTTCCTAAAGTCAAAGTTATTAACTCTGGATCCAGAAAACAGTACATATAATAATAATACTTGATATTGTTTTCCATATTTGTAATAAACTTTATCAAATAACTTGGATATTGGTTAAATAACTGCTCAGCAAAGTTCAAATTATCAGCATGTTATTTGACTAATTAACTGGTTATTTAACTAATTAACAATTCAAAAGTTCAAATAGTTCAAAAAAGATTTGAACCAGTTAAATTGCCAACACTGCTTATAATAAAATTCTCTCGATATTATGGATAATGATTATTCTTACCTTTTTTGGATAGCCTAATTTTATAATAATAAGCATAAGTGTAATGATGTATTATTAACAGTGTTGTCAGCAGACATGGACTGGATACAGACTGTCCAGTCTGGGACTGTCCATGTCTGTGTCCGTGTCCGTCACTTTAAATGTCCCTGCCCATCTTCAAGCAATCAAATTTACAGACGATGAGCACATTCAAACTATGAAATCATTTATCATTACACAACGTTATACAAGATGGTCTAAAAATAAAAATACCACTGCGCCGAGTGTTTCATAGCATCACAATAACAAAAATACACAATTCAATTGATTCAATCATTTATTACATATAACAGGAGAGACCGTTCTGTTAACACAAAATTTTAACCCACGCAATTGTTGATCGACCAATCAAAATCGTGAATTTGATAACGTAAAAATAAACGTTAACATAAAACA